ATGAATCGATAAACGTCGCTCCAGTTTCAAAAGTTTCCGTCGTGAGATTTCAATGCGACGCGTTACACAGAAGATTATCGCAATCGAGAGAAACGGGATGCATGGTGATTGATCCGCCGAAAGGACGAGCGCTCTTACATGAGATATCGCGAGCCAATTTCAATCTATGCATTTAGTTTCAATTTATGCATCGCATATTCAATTTGAAAATTGCATAAATACCGGATTGCTATACGCGATCCGAATTAATAGTCGTCATTTGCGGTCGCATTCCAAGTCGGATCGTCATCGAGATAGATAATATCTAGAATTGTCAATGAAATATGAGCGAGATATGAGTCTCCCAGTCACTGAATAAATCCCGTAACAAAATGGTAACTTTTAAAGTTGTAATTACAAGCGAGATATACCGAGCGAGATATGTACCATCTTGGCGTAGATAATCGTACCGTCTACCTATCTAATGTCATAAAAAAACAGCAGTAAAGCAACTTTACTGCAGAGAGAAATACGCGTTTACGCGAAGACATGTAGACGCCGCGGTGGGAAATACCACCCGCGACGAAGGATACTGAAAGTTGTAGCCATCCTCCCGTGGAAAATGGCAAGTTAGCGCGATCGTAGAGTTCTTTCATCGCGATATTCTATCGTGAGTCTATAAAATGCGTATGCATGACGTCCAAGTGCTTGTATGTGCCTTTGAAAATCCGAAGAAAGAGGATCCGAAGGTCTGAAAGACGCCGAGATGCCTCGGGAATTGGAAGACATTCTCGCGGCGTCTTTCAAACGTTCTTTGCGGTGTTTTTCCCTTGCGCTTTTTTTCCATGCAATTTTATTCTTATTTGCCTTTTATTTTTTTTCTGTGCCTAGTAAATGTATTGTTAATTGTCGTCGTAGCTGTGACGCGGCGACCGATAATTTGGCTATTAATTTCGCTCTTCTCCTGCCTCGCGTAAATCATCGTAGCTCCGACAAGCCCCCCCGGCATTCACGCAATCTCTCTTTGTCTTTCCGCAGAATAATCTGACAGATGGGGAAGAAGATCTGCCTGAAGACGCTTTCTCGCTGCTGTCGGTGCTCCTAGTTGGTTCGCTAAACTTTCCATTTGATCGATCGCGAGTCGCCCCTCGAAGACAACCTCCCGAGAGTGCCTTTTCTCGGAAGCTCCGATCCGACCCCGTCCAATCATACTGTGGTAGTCTCTGCCTTTCTGTCCCTCTCCCCAAGTTCTCCCGACACCCTTCAACTACCCTTACCTTCCGCGTTGTTTTTCCCCGACTGGAGCTCTCTCATGCTGCTTAATATAACCGATAGAATCGAATAAATTATGATTGGACGGCAGTCCCAAGTGTCATTTCTGTTCCATCGATGTTCACCATGAACAATCGAATTTCGTTCAATTGCTTGCGATCCTTGATGTAATATTTCTGCGTCGGAATCAATATTGAAAAATTTAGATTTTTTTTATTTAAAATTTACTAAGAAGAGTCAAAAATTTTTAAGAAAAGCATTTTTAAAATGTTGAGATCAAAATACGTGGAAAATGTGCGACACAATTGGTTAATAATTTATTATATATTTAAAACTAAAAGTACTAATTTTTTATTAAAAATTTAATTCTTTAAATGAGATATGAAATCCGAGATGAAATAATATTTTATCTAAAAGTTGCAATATATGCAAAAGATTTTCCTAAAATTTTGAGAGATAACAAGATTTCCTTGGTCGACGTTTTAGCGTGAATTACTTTAGTATGTAGGGTGCTTACGTTATCGATAAAATAAAGGTTCGCGAAGCAAATTATATACGCTGCTGAATCTAGCTTTTTAAAGGGGATATGCTCGTGAACCAGAACGGATTTACCGACTCTTCATTCATTTTATTCACCCAGCTTCAACCTTATTTCATTCTTCCAGCATTCGTATTTGTGGCAGATTAATTACAGAAATATAGGAAACGTTAGTTATTAAAAGTCGCAAGAGATTATGGCTACTCTCGAATTATCCTCAATAAAAAATCAATCAGAAACAATTCTGTTAAGCTAAAGATCGGAGCTTCCGAGATTCTTCTATAAATAATAAATAATATCATTTAATGAAAATTTTGATACACATAAAATTTGTCCCATAAAAATTCTTAAAAAATTCTTAAAAAAAATATATATATATATCTATTGTCATACAACTTCCGGCAATAGTGATAATACCGATATTCGCGCCGTATCGTATGATACGGCTTTCCTCGATTCAATCCTCCGATTCAATCCGATGAAAAGCGGCGAATCATATTACATTGGCGAGCGACGACGCAACGCGGATCTCTTAAAGGCCACACGCTTCGAGGGGCGACGTGTTGTACGGTTGAACAGTAGCGTGTCCTGGCGATTCTCCGCTAGACGGATCTCCGCGATATCCGCAGGATTCCTCCTTGTGATCCTGATATTCTTCTCCGTCGCCGGCAACGTCTTGGTCTGCGTGGCGATCTACACCGACCGCGGGTTACGGAGGATCGGCAATCTTTTCCTGGCCTCCCTGGCCGTCGCCGACCTCTTCGTCGGTGGGCTGGTGATGACATTTGCCGGGGTCAACGATCTCCTCGGCTACTGGATCTTCGGACTGTGGTTCTGCGACATCTGGATCGCCTTCGATGTTATGTGCAGCACTGCCTCTATCCTGAATCTATGCGCCATATCACTCGACCGTTATATACACATCAAGGATCCCCTCAGGTGAGACGACGGATAGCTTCAAGGGATTAACGATTTGTAAATTGAAAGAAAAATTGCAAATTTTTTGATGCGATTGAAAAACAATTTTAAACGGTGAACTTTACACATGATATATTTATAAAACTGAAAAAATAAAAAAAAATATATAAAAACCTTTATGAAATAATATAATGATTTTTTAAAAAATTGCACGCAATTTTTCGATAAAATGGAATAAAAGGGATTAAATCAAATATATAATAAATTATCAAATATTTTTATTTTAGGTACGGCCGTTGGGTGACTAGAAGAGTTGCTATTGGGGGCATCGCCGTTGTGTGGCTTTTAGCAGGACTCATATCCTTCGTACCGATCAGTTTAGATCTTCACAGGAATGATGATCAACCGAAGTATGACGACGGAGTGGAGGTAAAAATTTAATTGTATCGATTTATTAATATCAGAAGAGTTCAATATATATCGAATGAAGTCTATTTGAATATGCAAAACGTGGTGAAACGATTTTCCTCCTTCTCTTTTTCTCAAACAAACTATCGGTTTTAATTATCGCGTAATCCTTTCCATTAGAAATTAATAAATAAAATATATATTCCATTCACTTCAATATTTAAAGTATACGTAATACTTAAAAATCTGCAATTATATAGATATTGTCAGATATAAAAAATATGTTACGAAGCAACCGCGAGAAATTAAATTCGCACCGAGTTTTATCAAGAAAAAGAAATATGATAGCATTAAGTTCACGTGCAGCAAAGTTTGCGCGGAGCGACAACAAGATGCCTATGACTTTCTAAATTAAAAATATGTTTAAATGCAAAAGGATTACCAAGACAAATTTACCATAAATATAAAAGATATCTAAAAGATATCTTTTAAACATCTAAAAGACATCCAAAATATTTGACTTATTATTAGTAATCAAGATTTCTGCAGTTAAATATATTTTTAATTTGAAATATATTCTTTGTTTTGTGTTATTACACATTTCTTTGATAAAATTTTTTTGCTCTAATAAATATCTTATTCATATTTCATATTTTTAAGAATTTCTTATAATTACATTGTTTAATATTTTTATATTTATATTATTTAATATTCTCAAATATATTTCAGAATATTAAACAATTTTTCTTAAAAAATTTAGTTCCATATAAAAATTTGAATTGAAATATTTAATTCGATAGTGAAAGGATTATGAAATATGCATAAATTTTATTTAAATTGGCAACTTTGTAATATCAATACGTTTTTAGAAAAAATATATTTAAATAATATATTAGTATTATTTTTAATGTTTTTTAGTTAATATAAGAGACGAATATACTTGGTACTATTTTTTTATCTTTTTGTAAAGAAGTAATCATGTACAAATAAAGAAGACATCTGAATTATACGATAGTTGCTGCTTTCGAATACTGAAGGGATTAAAAATAAATGACATTTTCTCATTTTACCCCGTCACGCCATTCACGTTCGAAGTTTGCGCAATCCTCGCGTTTCTCCGTTAATTACTCGTCTTTTACCCTTACAGGAGCACCCTACGTGTGCCCTAGACATTACGCCCACCTATGCGGTAGTGTCCTCTTGCATATCTTTCTACGTGCCCTGCATTGTGATGCTGGGTATTTATTGCAGGTAAGAACCGCCGGAATTACTGGCACTGCCGCAACCAGCTACTCGGAAGCGAATTAATTTAACTTTTTACTTCCGCACTCTCGCCGTAATCTTTATGAGTGACGCAGCTCGTATGACATTCAATAAAACATGACTAGCTTGCGATTCTAAACGAGTTTGAAAATCAGAACGATGCGGAAGGCCATCTTTTGTTTTAAAATTTATAAAAAGTGAATCATATGCACAATAATGCCATATACTTCATGAATCTACCAAAACAATGTCGAATTTTAATAAAATTTTATGAATAAGCATTTAACGTCATCTTTTAATCATTTAACTTCTTTAACACATAATAATACAATCATATATTTTCATTTCAGTTGTTAGTAAAGTATTTTTTTATTACTATTAATAAATAAAATAGTTTCAATTTGGACATGTTAAAATGTCTTTCCAGGCTCTATTGCTACGCGCAGAAACATGTGAAGAGTATCCGAGCGGTGACGAAGCTGCCGGATACCTCCATGGCCAAGAGTTTTCGTTCGAAGAGCAGTCGCTGCAAGCCACCGAAGCCACAGACGAAGACGAAGCCAACCAGCCCTTACCATGTATCCGATCATAAGGCCGCGATCACCGTCGGTGTAATCATGGGCGTATTCCTGGTGTGCTGGGTGCCCTTCTTCTGCGTCAACATTGTCGCAGCCTATTGCAAGAGCTGCATATCTCTCCGAGCGTTCCAGGTGCGAATTCTTCGCGCGGATCGCGTCCAAATTCTCATCTTAATTATGTTTCTCTCTTCTTTATACTTTAAACTGATTATCTTTTCCCTTAAAAAAAAGTCTATTAAAAAAGTTTTTTTATTCTGGACATCGTAAGTGAAAATTATCATTTTAAGATTTTCACCTAGAAAGAAAATGACAAATGTCTTGTGATGTTGCTTACGCGCAAAATTTTTCGACATCTTTATACAAAAACAAAAAAGTAAAAATAATTTTCTTCTCACGAATAGGTTCTTACGTGGCTCGGCTACAGTAACTCGGCCTTCAACCCGATAATCTACAGCATCTTCAACACTGAGTTCCGAGAGGCGTTCAAGAGGATCCTTACAAAAGGGGCACGCGCGCGGGGCAACCAGCCGTCGACTAGCGAGTGCGGCGAGTTCCGTTCCGTAGTGGTGCAGAAGCGAAACGGCTCCATGATCGAGTGTAACATCAGTCCAAGATCGAGCGCGGATAGCTGCCAGGTCGGCGTCATGGCTCAACGACATCGCGATACCATCGTCAGTGCTATATAAAGCATTCCGGCATCTCTCGACTCTCGGTCATCTGAACAATTTCTTTCCTGGATCTCACTCTCGCTGCTTGCCTCCGAAGTCGTCGCGATCGTGTCACCTTTGTCACTCGACTTTCGTTCGAAACATTCGCGATACAAAATCTGAAGACACCGACATCGTTCAGCAAAGCGTAATGATGTAACGTGCAAATTAAACACATTTCATCCAAGAGGATATTCGTTCTTCATGGTGCGTTGATCCTCTATGGTCTTTCATGGAGGACATATCGATTGATTTCCACGGTGTTTAAATTTAACAAACTTATAATTTTTATTTGCCACCTTAAAATATGTTTCAAATCCACAGAGAAAAATCCGTGATGACGCAATTGATGACAATTTGCACGATTTCTAATGGAACGTTCGCTTAGTTATTGTTTCGTACAAACTTGCGCCAGTGTACATAAAATCAACATACGGTAACTCACTTGTACCAACAAGCAGAGTTTGCTCTCGCATGCTAAAGTTTAGTATTTGCATCCGTGAAGGATTGAACGCCAAACCGCCCGCCTGCTCAAAGGAAGACTGCAGCTGCAGTTGCGACGACGTTGTCTCGCTACAGCCACTCGCGTAAGATAAGCAACTGAGGACGTTGATAATACTCTCAATCACATTATTGAATCTCTCCTCACGTAATATCAATCAATGTTCTAGTTAGCTGTCGTTGACTTGGCCTGAGGATTCTCTTGGACCAACGAAAAACGCGTTGCTCGTATCTTCTCGACGTCGGATTCTAGAAAAGCAATATCATAAATATTGGAGCGACGCAAAATCGAGACGTTTGCCGGGATGATTATTAGAATGAGCACTTCGATACGTCGCGTCTTCGTTTCCACGACCGTCGTCATGATTTGAAATGACCACGATTAATGATGCGATCACAATGATAATTAAGAGTGACGCGCAAATTTCTTCAAAGTGATATTTTTATTTTAACTTTAACGCATTCTGCATGTTCGCACAATCGAGGAGTATATCTCCTTTTCTTTTTTATGAAAAAGGACTAAAAGGCTGTGTTGTTTAACCATACAAGCGCGATATTTCGCGAAGACATCAATCATTGTAATTAAGACAATCACCGAAAACCTACTTTGAAACATATCCGAAGACATAATCCGCCGAAATTGTAATATTATCTTCTTCTTTAATTTCTTCATTCGTTTGTTTTTCAAAGCGGTACGACGACGGGCATAGAGTGGGATTTGTTGATTAATAGAAGAATCCAAGTGTAGCGCTTAGGATACTAATCTCATCAAGCAATCTCTTTAATGGAGCAATGTCGATAGTCGATCTACGATGTTAAAAGCTGGATGTTACTCAAAAATACTGATATGTTTCTGAATAGTAACGTCTGTCATGGAAAATAATATATAAAAAAAAAAGAAAACTTAATAGCAATAGGTCAGCGCAGCGGCGCCGTGAACTATAGAATTCATTTACCATCTTGTAAATAGCCATTTAATTATTTTTCTATTTGACGGGGTGCGGAAAGAGATGAATAGCGAGACATTCGCAGAGATGCGAAATCTTGTGTCTAATGGACGCGCGCTTATTGGATGTACGCAAAATCGTCGTCGAGCACCCGTCGAATCTCTCAACTCAATTCTGCATCACATATCCGAGCGGAAGGAAGTAGTCACGAGCCAATTTGTCGTTCGTGAGGATCCGTCGAGCTTCCTTGGTACATCTATATCTACGATACAAAGCGCATTGCGATCCGGCGCGAGAGAAAGATAAAAGGGGATACACGAATGCATATGTCGCTGCAGATAGAAATGATCAAAGGAACAGTATGAAACTCTCTAGCCGGCAGAATCTGTGCGCAATGTTGATGTATACTACTGATATATTCGAATGACCGTTCTCTGTAAATATACTAGACTAAGACTTCGAAGAATATTTGATTTGTGATTTTTTACCGATTCCTCTTTTATCTGATATCCCTATATCCCATTGAAGCATGGAAAATAAATAATAAGCACCGAAAAAGGTATTCTGTGATGTATCTACATCTATTTCATATTTAATATGAAATTTAACTTGCCCAAAAATAACAATTACTTTCATTAATTTACAGTTATTACTTCTACGAACACAAGATTTAATGTTTTCTTATCGTATGTAATGTGGGATCAAAATACATTATGCTTAATGCATGATGGGAATATTCAATTTTATCTAGCCATTTGGAAATTTTTTCAAAATAAAAAGTTAATAAATAAATATTTTCTTCATTGGTTCATGATTAGTAGACAAATGATAAATATATAAATATTTATTAATTTCTTATTTTCTTAAACAATATCAAATTGTTGCGTTCAATATATCTTTCTTTCAAGCTATTGTTAAAAAAGTTAGGGACGGTATCCGTCCACATGCGATTCTCTTTTCGGATATTTAGAAAATCGAGCAAACTACTGCTCAATTTTGGTACGATTGGATATAATATTAAAGCACCTATTCTAGTACTTTCTAAAGCGAGCGATATCACAGCTTTAAGTTCCTCGATCGAATCTGCATCGTCGACTTGCTTCCTTAGCTGCCAAGGCTCATGATACGCTACCATCTTGTTCGCACAATGAAGCATACTCATGACCGCGTCCACCACGTGATGCAAATTATATTCTTCATAGCTATCGCGTGCTTTTTCACCTACGGACTTTAAAGCCTCTCTAGTTTCGTCAGCTACTTGAGACTGCAACACGTTCCAATATTTGGCTGGATCGGGAAATTCTTTGGACGGATTGACCGCTTTACCCGCGCAACGATTCACTAGATTGCCCAGCGTATCCGCCAATTCGGAATTTAATATGTTAATAATTTTTGTTGAACTATAATCTGTGAATAGATAATTAAAAAATATGGTGCAAAATGACATATAATAATGCATGTGATTTATCTTACTTGCATCGTTCTGTGGTACCGCTTCTCTTAAAATAAAGTATCGTAATCCTTCTTCTGTATAATCATTTGCAGCTTCAAATGGCGAAATTACGTTACCTTTTGATTTCGACATTTTCTGATGATCAATAGTCCAATGAGCATGACACAATAATGTCTTTGGCGGCTCGAGACCTGCCGCCATTAAAAATGCTGGCCAATAAATACCGTGAAATTTCAAAATATCTTTTCCAATTACCTATGCCAAGAATATTTTCGATATATTCTATCTTATTTGAAAACTTTTATATAATTTCATTATTACTAATTAAAGATCCATACTTGAATAGTGGGTGGCCAAAATTCTTTGTATGATTCATTTGGATATCCTAAGACTGTTAAATAATTTATTAAGGCATCCAGCCACACATATATCGAATGGAATTCATTACATGGAGAAGGTAAAGCCCATGGCACTTTGTTTCTAATTCTAGTAATACTTAGATCCTGTAAACATGTACCTTCCTCTACCCACTGGGACAATGTTTTATGATACAATGCTGGTCTAACCGTGTTTTCTATAAGATTCAAAATTTACAATTTCATTAAAAGAAAGGACTAGATTTAAATTCAACATCTTTTTATACCATCTTTGAGCCAGTACTTGAGATCATCTTGAAATGCGCTAAGTCTGAATTTATAATTTTCTTCCTCTGTCCATTCCACTTTGTTTCCCGATTCCGCGGAGACTTTGATTATTTTACCGGACGAATCTTTCTGTTCCACCAACTCTGTGTCAGAGAGGAACGCTTCATCTGATACACAATACCATCCCGAGTACTTTCCCAGATAGATATGCCCTCTTTCTTCTAACCGTTTCTGAAAACATTTTCTAATGTGAGTCACAAAACATCATGAGCGTCACATAGAGAATGATATTCAGAGATAAATTTATTCTAAGAACCCAAAAATGATACACTGCATCACAATGCTGTTTTTCTGTAGTTCTAATGAAACGCGAGTAATCCACTTCAAATTTATCACACATTTCCCTGAATTGCTGCGAAATTTTTGTACAGTATTCAAGATTCGGTAAACCAGCTATGGCTGCAGCAGCTTTAATCTTGTTACCATGCTCATCGGTGCCAGTAGCAAAAAACGTTTTATGACCCAACATGCCGTTATATCGAACAAAAGCATCGGCCAAAACAGCGCTATACAAATGTCCGATATGAGGACCTAATACATAAAATATACATTCGCAGATTTTCTACAATGACAGTTAAATATAAAAAATAGGAATTGTTAATTTAAAGAAAATAACATACCAGCGTTTACATAAAAAATGGGCGTAGTAATGTATTTAGTCTGAGATAAATCTTTTATATATTGCCTTTTTATTGTTTGACTCCAAGATGATCGTACATTTTTAAATAAGAATGGAAATATTGCCGAGTTTGAAGGCTGATACTTTGGAATTACATGTTTAACTGAAATTTAAATTAATAATTATTAATATGAGAATAATTCATATGAGAAATCTTTAAAGATCAAGATATCTTTAAAGAAATAGAAGATAAATTTATTTTTTTTAACAAAAACTATTTTGAATTGTAAGAAATATATTATTATATGAAATTTATATTATATTATATGAAATGTATGAAATTATTACATTATATGAAATGTAATAATATTAATATATTTTTGTATTATTTATTATAGATATGATTTAAAATCAACAATCAAAATAAAATCTTTCATATATGGAAAGTGATATAAACTCTTAATTTTAAAAATATTTATTTTTTGCTAATATATATAGTTACAATACATTAAATAACAACAATCGTTATATACATGCAATAACAATTTTCAGTTTTTCGTCTCAATATTATGCGACTCAAGAGATATCGTTTCTAACTGAGCTATGAGATCCATATGCTTAAATTCGTTAGGTTTATTATTAAATGTTTCAAGTAATTGCAATCTACGTTCGTTATCGTCGCAATAATATAACTGCAATTCGTTAGCTAGACATTGTGCTTCGTGCACTTGTAATAACTTTGTATCATACTCTCCACGCATGAGTATAATATCCTTATCATCTCTCAATTCTGTGTAATGTATCATAGTCAAACATTCAGGTGCATTCTCCTTGTGTGTCTGATACCACAAGAGTGGAGTCATGTGTACTTCTGAGCCATAGAATTGACACATTATAAATTCATAGCCATGTTCTCTTGGTAATGGTAGGAGAAAGGTGGAATATTGCTTGCCACGAGCAAACATCTTATCATACTGCTCAGGTGTCATAGTTCCACATATACAATCCTTTTGCTTGTGATATTCTTTCCATATCTCTATAATTTCTTCTTTTGACTTATCTTTTATCATGTTAACTTTCATTATGCTATCCAATTGTGTTCCTTTTCTCTGTATATCAGACTCTAAAACTGGCTTAGCTTCAGTTTGATGGAAATTCACAGCTTTCTTGCGTTTCTCTTTAACAATAATAATTTAAATATTCTTTATCACAACAATAACTCTTTATTAACAATTAATATTCTTATTATCATAAGAATCACAATATCTGTCATGAACATTCTTTATTGATATCTAGATGAAAGTACATTTTACTAAATGTAACTGGGAAATGAAAATAAACACATCTAGTATTTAATTGCATTAGATATAAATGTCAAGAGAAATACAGATAATTTAAATAAAATTGACAGAAAAGAATTGACAGAAATATATCTTCGAAGATCATATACCTTGCTTTTCGCGAGCTTTCTTTTCTTGCTGCTCCACGCGCTGCAGGAACTCTTCCGGACTAGTCTGCTGCAGCTTCGCGATTTTTTCAGCATACTTGTCATAATAAGGATTTCTTTGCAACTCCTCAAGAACCTTTTCAAGTCTCGCCCGGCTCGTCATGATGCACCTTTCGTTGCTCAGGATTATTCGACAACCTTTCAAACACCTGCCCAATCCTGCGCGCGTCACGTTTCGGAGCAGAACGCTTGCCATGGACATCAACCGCTAGGAAACACAGGCCGATATCTTGAACGCGAATAAAGTTAATCGAGAGAAGCGAGCTATCGCGCCGCCGTCATGCCGAACGCACGTGAAGTCAGTAGAGAATGGCACACATCGGCGCGCGCCGCTGTTGCCATGCTTTGAACATGCGTGAAGACAGCCGACAATTCAGATGTCGCAGCCAACGCTTTAAATCCTTTCGTCGTACGCAATCGTTGTCATTTTATCACCGATATTATCACCGAAATATCGAGAACATTTCAATAATATAGCGATAATAATAGCCACATGATGGCAATGATTGTTAAACGCGTTTCGAACAATAGCTCTAAAAACGCGAATAAGTAGCACGAGGTTCCGGTACGTCAGTGCCGTATCCACATGGAAACGACGTTGACCTACATCGTTGCGGATTTGCATATCGTCGAGCTATAACAATTCTACTAATGATACATAAATCATTTTGCAACGTTTGTGCACGATACAAACAAGCCGTGATTCGTTCTTCGAAAAGTCCGCGAGTATTTGGAAATATTCCATAATGATCTAACAATCATTGAAACTCAATGATATTGAAAAAATAATTTAGAAAATGTTACATTCATACTGCTTTTTTTTTTACTTAATATATTATAATGCATAACGTTATTAAAATGCGGAAAAGTGTGACCTCTGAGAGAGGAGAGAGAAGAGATATATTCAGCGCCCCGCGTTGCAGTGTATTACGGACCTGAGCGACCGAAGTACTGTGGTGTCAAGCGAGCAACTTCATGTCGAATTAGATTCGAGGGACGTGAATACCCGTAGCCGACGCGATCGACGCGAGAAAAAAATTATCGCCGATTATCGCCAATCACGCGTGTGAGTCGTCGCGACGCGAACGTCCGGGCGTCGTGCGGCGTCGCTCCAGGTGGAGCAGCTCCATTGAGCGGCAGTGCGGCCATCCCCCGCGTCTCCCGCGCCCGCCGCACGGTGACGCATCGCTTCCGGGATCCGTCAGTCGCTGCTCTTCGTATCCCATAGCGAGAGGGAAAATGTCGGCGCGCTGTCGACGGGGCTTGTCGTGCCGCCAGTGAATAAGCTCGCTTAAAACACGTCACGACGATCGCATCGCTGCCCCGACAACCCTGACTTTTCGAAATCTCACCCATAAAGCGAGCCCATACGCCAGGGGGTCGGTCCGTACCCTCGTTTCGACTCGCGACCTTCGCGCGCACGAGATAGAAAGAGAGAGAGGCAGCGCGCGCGAGAGATCGCGGGGAACGGTGGAGCAAGCGAAAGAAACGGTGGGAGAAAGAGGAGGACGGAGAGCAGGTGCAAAATCTACACCGTCGTGTAGAGGTCCCCGCGCGTAAGGGAAGAGCCAGACGGAGTGGAGGTGAAAGAGAAGGCATACGGTGGAGAGCAGTGACATGGCGTCGTTGGCGATGTCAATAGCGAAGAATGAGTTCATTGTGGGTGGCAAGTACAGATTGATGAGGAAGATCGGCTCGGGCTCCTTCGGCGACATTTACCTCGGCATCAACATCTCTAATGGCGAGGTAAGGCAACGTCAGGCGTTTCTTGGCCGACCAGCACACGACCTACTGCTGGCCTGTCTGCAGCCAGCTCCGTTTCCTCTGTGCGCGTTTCCCATTTCACGTTTCTCATTTTGTTTCCCCATCCCATTCCGACCCGTCGCGACGCGATATGATGCGATGCGACACGACGCGACGCGACGCGCCGCGATGAGATACATGTTTCCCTTCGTTCGTGCCATTCCACGCTGTTGCGAGACAAGATCAAACCGAATCAGACCAGACCAGGCCAGGTCAGACGAGACGAAAAAAATGTCGACCGCGAGACCCATGTCGAGAGAGTTTCTTTGAACGAAAACCGTCGACAATTTAAAGACGCGAACGGCTTGTGCTCGCGTCCTCAGTAGTTACCATCGACGGTTATTTCGGAAAATTCGCCGTCGCTATGTCGCAAAAATGACGTACGAACATCTGGACGCGATTGAGATAAATATAAGCCGTCGCTTGTCATAATAGCAATGATTATTGGAATCGCGATTGCGCCTGTATTTAGCTATCGTCCGCGCTGAATCAGTTGTATACAAATTACGGTTCTCTTGCTGGAGTCGAGTTAAACGATCGGAATTTACTAATCTTGGCACCTTAACAGGTTATAGTTTCTCTTACTGATAAAGAAAATCAAATTCACTGTCAGAAATACCATGAACAATACTTCTGCGTTATGATATTACAGGGAAATTGGCTTTTATTTATTTTGCAGCCTACTCGGTTTTTTGCGAAAACTTCCATTGTTAGTATTTTATTTTAAATAGCATTTACTTACAATCCATATATGTTGATTACAATATAACACAAAAATCGATATACAAGGGTAATAATATATCCTTTCAGAATGTGGTAACAGTGAATGAATAACAATAGAGAACAAAATTTAATAAAATTTTAGATAAAACTGATGTTAAACGAGAATTTAAATTGTGTAATTCATGTACATTAGATCAAGAGGTATTTATTCTCATCCCTAATATTTTCAATGTTTTTGAAGAATTCTGTTTGTTGTCCATGTGACACTAACAAATATTATGTTTAAGAAACAAAGGAAAGTCAAAATAATAAAAAGAAAGAAATCATAATATTATTATATCATTTATTTCATCTTGCTTGTGATCTCTTTTCTGTTCTGCGTTAAATAAAGCTGGAGCATAGTTTGATAATGTACATGTATGTTCTTATTTCAGGAGGTTGCAGTTAAATTGGAAAACATGCGAGCCCGACACCCGCAGCTTCTATATGAATCAAAGCTGTACAAAATATTACACGGTGGTATAGGAATACCACACATACGTTGGTAAATATCATATTCAAATCTATGCTTTCTATTATATACATTTTACTTATCTTTTGTAACAATACATTTTTTATAATATAATGAATTTTATATAAGCTGAGATATAATTAAAAAGATATAATTAAAATTAGCAAAAATTGAACCAGGCAATTGATGGGAACTTTTCCATTCTTAGGTATGGCCAAGAACGTGAATACAACGTTCTCGTTATGGATCTTCTTGGCCCATCTTTGGAAGATCTTTTCACTTTTTGTTCAAGAAGGTTTACAATCAAGACAGTCTTAATGTTGGCAGATCAGATGATTGGTAGGATTGAGTATGTCCACTGCAAACACTTTATTCACAGAGATATAAAGCCAGATAATTTTCTAATGGGGATTGGTCGGCACTGTAATAAGGTATGTATTTCACAATCTGCTCATTTTTCCAACAATACTTTAGAAATAAAACTAGTGTGCGCACCGCTGCATTAAACAAATAACACAAATAGATAAATATTTCAGCTATTCCTTATCGATTTCGGATTGGCTAAAAAATATAGAGATAGCCGCACAAGACTGCATATAATATACCGTGAAGATAAAAATCTAACGGGTACTGCAAGGTATGCTTCTATCAACGCGCATCTTGGAATTGAACAGAGTCGTCGCGACGACATGGAATCACTCGGCTACGTTCTTATGTACTTTAATCGTGGATCATTACCTTGGCAAGGTCTCAAAGCCGCGACGAAGAAGCAAAAATACGAGAAAATTAGTGAGAAAAAAATGTCCACACCAGTCGAAGTCTTATGCAAGGTACACTAAAGATCTTTTTTCTATCTTGTGTTAGATATGAACGTCCGTCATACAAAGATTGCTATTTTTCAGGGATTTCCTGCCGAATTTGCAATGTATTTAAATTATACGCGAGGCTTACGTTTTGAAGAAAGCCCGGACTACATGTATTTACGCCAACTTTTCCGCATACTTTTCCGTACATTGAATCACCAATACGATTATACATTTGACTGGACAATGTTGAAACAAAAGGCAGCGAGTAGTACCATTAGTGGTGGAGTGTCAACAGCTGGACCAGGTCTCTCTCAAGGTACTCAAGGTGCTCAAGGGCAAGGACAAGGTCAAGGTCAAGCACCTACTCAGGCCAACACTCAATCAGGTGCAATTAAAATTTTTGGAATTAATTTTTCGTAACATGTCCACGTGTACAGCCCGTAGATACCTTTAACCATTCATGTACATCTTATATCATTATCTCATTTAATTGTAATAATCGTCATGAAATTCATGCTTTATAAATTGTTAAAACTGGCATTCTATACTGGCATACTCTACTATTGTTAACTCAATTTGTTTTTTGATGATATTCATAATAATATTTATATTATAAATTATCATTTTTTAACAGCAAATTTTAACCTTAAAAGATGGTTGGAATCCTCCACAAAACTCAACATTTCAATTGGCACAAATCATTCTTCCAAGAAGCAATAATCCTGAAGCTTTTTAAATATTTTTCTCTTCTTCCTTGATGAATGGGCACATCCCAAAATTTTTTGGAGAAAAAATTTTCCTTACTTTTTAATAATAATGACTGAAACACTAATGGAAATATAAGTACGCTAATTAACATTTATTCACGAATCACATTTTATTCCATGATATCCAATGTATAAACCTATGCTAAAAATTTTCTCTTATACCAAAATTTTTAAGAGATTTTTGCATTTCTTAAAAAAAATTTCGTATATGTATTATTTAACATTTCTAACTCGTCTTATTATTACTTCATTTAATTGCATCTTACTAAGATTTTTATAGCTCTTGAGTTTGTTTTCTACTTTAAGATATTGTTGAATATATCGAAATGTATTATATATATTAAATGTTTTTTTAATTATATTAAACTTAAAAATTTAATACATTCATCATTAATATCATTTATACCGCATATCATTAATATATCATTTGAATTTAGATTTTATTATCTATTAACTTCAAATCAACATATTGTTTCTACTTGTATATAATGCAAAATTACATAAGAAAAGATCTATATGTAAAAAGATAACATATTTCATATAAAAAAATAAGCAGAACAATATCGATGTAAAGATTGCATTGTCCACGAGCATTACATTATCGATAGCAGAATTTGGAAAAATGTGATAATTATTTTCTATAACTTCAAAATTGCTTTTATTTGTTCCAGGAGCGCGCTAAGACTATAACTCCTCATTGTAGCAACAATCTTGATCGCTATCACTAAAGTGTTTCAAACGAGGTACCGAATTTCTTGCAGAAGTTATCATTCGAAGAGTCGTATCAGTCAATGCTCGAGAGCGCAATGTTTGTGACTATAAATACAATATTTGCGTATATGTGAAATATAATTGTATTACATAATTATTCAATCCCATTAGAATTGCTGCAACACCAACGATTTAGAGTTTTGGCTGATGCAACTTTTTGTATTGGGTAACCAGAGTGAGAGACCACTCAGTCAAAAAGTGGCTTGTTCTTATTTTGTTATTACGTATTTAATTTCCCGTTGGTATAAATCATTGAAAAAAATAAAGGTTTTGTTGCCCTGAGGAAGATTGTAAAGGAGTGCACGTGTTATCGATTTTGAATACAAATAACGGGTGATTTAATTCGTGAAATTGTGCAACTTTCATGGAGAGAAAGAGAGGATAGTCAGACCATTCTTGGAATGCTCACGTTAATTTGCGGAGCGTGGTGTAAAATTTTATATCTATTCTACAAACAGAAAATAGAGATATGAAAAATATATGAGTGTTTGTTTTGTGAGAGCATGGATATTACTGTTAAGCAAACTGACATATTCTGCTTCCTAAATTTTGTTTTGTCTTCAATATATAGTGTGAGCATACTAGATCTGTGAAGTTGGCACGACATTCTGTTCATATAAAAAAAAGTAATTATTAAAGTTTTAGTAGCATTTTCCATAGGTCTCGAGTTCTTTATAAAAATGAACAATATTTATTTTTGTACTTATACGAATCATTTCTTTATACTTTAGAAGGGGATATATTCGTGATAAATTCGCGAAGATAGCACGTTTTTTCTTTTCTTTTTTTTTTTTAATTGTGCAAAACTATTGTTAATTTCTAGAGAATTCGAGAACTGGAAATGTTACTAAAACTATAATAATTTTTTTTTATATGAACAGAATGTCATGCCAACTTCACAGACCCGAGCGTATGTGGAATGTTGAGAAAGTGTTAATATTTTTCTTATCAAGGATAATATGCGCGTTTCAATAGTATCAAAGGAGCATTACATATACCTTTGATACGTTTGATCGGAATAACTTTTTTTATATAAATGAACAATTACGTCTCTCTTCGATATTATATTGACAAGTTAAAATAATATTAAAGATACCTTAATATTAAGGCAATACTCTAACTTTTAAGCAGGTACCGTACTGTATCGAGTAATGAGTACTTCATCGAGAAAGGAACAAACGACTATTGTAGAAATATCCCTTGATTTACTCTCTTTCTGTCTATGAAGATGTTTATTACGATTGCAGAAGTAAGAATGTCAATGAATAAGAAAAGAGAGAAGAAACTTTGAATAGTGGGAAGTAGTTACAAGCTTACTTTCATCTAGATAATATAAAAAAAAGTTATCTCGCTCGGAAAGTATTCCTGTAACTCTGAGGCTGTAGCTGGATAATTCTTCCGTATATAGTTTTAATAGCTGAGACTGTGCAGTAGCTATTTCACGTGCTGTTGCTTCAAGATTAAGTTTGATATTTTGTATACATATTAAGGGACTTCATATCTCATCATGACCAACGCGCGTTCTTCGTACACACATATGCATATACTGAGAGAAGTCGCCTCGAACAGTCAAAATACTTATTGATATATCGGCAATTGCTAAAGAAACTATTATTTCTATTCATATCGTTTAAGATTTTAGTTGTATCATTCATTCTAGTTACTAAATTCTTCACGTCCATATTCTGCGAGCATTAATTCCAAAAGAATGTTTATGATTATATACCTTTAAACGAATAATATTAGTATGCGTCACACGTCCTCGTGGAAGGTACTACCAATCGTCCGGTCAGCTTTAAGTACGATTGCGATGATGAATTCAACTGAAATCTTAAAGCTTATTATATCTGAAGAAGCGGATTATGCTGCCTGGCAGGACGCTTTTGAGAATATGAAAATGATATAATCAATAACCATCCTCGATTGAATGCGTGATTGATTCTAATTATTAAAAGGGGATATAAATGAAAGTGTAAAAGTGCGCATCAACATGTGAGAATGAATGAGCGAGTAAGTTAATAAAATAACTAACGATATATGCACTTAAATACTATCCGCTGTGTGTATGTGCCTATGTGTACACGTACACGGTATATCGCAAAATGTATGTGTAATATATATGCACATATACATTGTCTGTATGTATAATAAAATTGTGACAGTAATTAAGACATACTCCCTTATTTCATAAATATTTGAGGAAATGCATCAACGGTTTACTGCTCCTTTTATCTCTACAAATAAAAAAACTGGAATATTGTACTATACATTTCTGTTTCATTAAATGTTAATCTTGCTAATAATTGACTGTTGTATAATATATAGCAACAGTGAAAGTGTATATGATGTTTGGTCAAGGTAGGCATACCCACTCTACAATGACCATATCACTTTCTATTGTGATACCATCACCATTTAGGGTGTACATACAAACACTTATGTAAATATTTTTAGACCATATATTTGACAATTCTTAAAGGCATATATATATATATATATATATATATATATATATATATATATATATATATATATATATATATATATACACATATACATATACATATACATAATACAGAAAGCCGCGGAGGCACATTTTTCTTCCGAATTGTTAATACTAAATAACATTGCGTTATAAACGTAATGAAACGTAATGAACACTGGAAAAAACCTCCCAGCTGCGATGCACCGGTCATCGCGCTGTAGCCCATCGGAAATAAATAAACGTTGCACAAGTGCAAATTACGAATTACTAGATCTGCCCTGTACCTTTTTCACATCGATACAAGGATGCGACATAAATTCTTTGTATAAAAGCCTAGTTAATATCGCGTTATTTGCGATAATAATATAATTAGTTCGCTTCCTTTTATAGGGTACGGCAACATAGTACAAAACTGCTATCGTGAAAAAATTATTAGAAAAAGATAGTCTTTCTTGCATGATATTGATTGAGGATTCTTGAGATGATCACATAACTTGTCACGAAGTAAATATAAACAACGCGAATTCTTAATAATACAACAGAGTGTGAATTTTCCTAAGTTCTTGCGGTCCTACATTAACAGAAAACGATTGTTCTGGGCCATTACAAGGGATTTTTATTTCGGCGGCAAGTAATTTGCGTTCCTGCATTGCCGCTGCCATCTCACGATTCGGATATACGGCGAAATTCGCTTCAGCTCTTCCACCTGGCGTACGTTTAATAGCTTCTCGACGTACTTGAGCCTAAAGAATATAATTTTGGCTAGCCAGTGTAATCGACATTGTATTAATCTACATTATTATGTATTTATCTTTTATGTGTACTTACCACTAACTCGTCTACTCTTTTCTTCAGTTGCATAATATTTCTTTGCCGTTCCAGTAAATAATGATAAGATGTTTCGGGCACTTTACGTCTCAAATCGGGAACTGTCGGATATACCAAAGTCTTTTCAACATCCTGAAATATAAATAAACATTTACGTAAAAGAATATTTGAGTATAATATTCGATAATGATTATTGATTAATAATTACCTTGACAAGATCTGTAGTCTTCTTTCGCAATTCTTGAATCTTCGAATCTAAAGATTTGAGACTCGTCGGCGAAGGTAACGGTTCCAAACTATCCAATTTTTGACGTAAAACGGCGCACATTATCTTTTTCTTCTGCTGATGCTCGTTATTCAAAGCTTGTCTGAGAGCATTTATTTCTTGTATGTAATATTTGTTGTCCAAAGTGCTTGTTATTGAAGTAGTTCCTGTCATACTATCGGCACCAGATACCGATATCGTTTTCTTGCCTATTGATTTCAATTTCTCTTTCAATTGCCCTTTCTCTGTTTCTAGGCTGTCGATATCAGTTTGTAGATGATCCATCGTTTCTTCGAACTCTTTTTCCTATTACCAAAAAAAAGAATCAATAACTGTACATGTAAGATTACAATATATATATGATAATGAAAGAAAGAATACCTTGCGTTTCAATTGATTCTGCGCTTCTTCTAATTTTCTCTTTAACTTCTCGACATTCATCTCATGCTCATGCTGTTGTGTCGCAAATCGTTTCTCGGCTAATTCCTTCCGCAATGTCATTTCAGATAACTCCTCTTGCTTTTCTCGCAAAGCTAATCTCGCTTCACGTATGTCGCTATCCCTTGCTTCGAGTTTTCTAATATGAAAATATAAAAGATCTTGAATATTGTTCTAATGGTAATTAAACATAATGTCAACAAAAATGCACGCACCTGCTGAGTATTTTTGTTTCTTCCGACTCCTTTCTCACTGCATTCGCTCTAGCTACGATTGGTGTTATTTGCTCACTCTCCATAGATTGCTGCTGACTTTGTGTCTGTCCACTTATAGCCAATTCGTTCTCACACTCGGCCATCTTCTGTGCCAAATTCGCCGCTAATTGTTGTATCACGGTTAAGCTAGCCTTAATAGTAGCAACAGGACCCAAATCTTCTGTATCGTATACTCTTTCACTAGACGTCGCAGCCATTTCCTTTAATTTATCGGCCGCTAGCCCCGTGTCTAAATCTAAAGATAATTCATTTATAAATTGATTTATAAAGATATAAAAATAAATTTTCCTAAGGAAATCTAAAAATATATTTACCGCCATTTTCGGTAATAGCCTGCAAGGCGCTTTTCAATAGATACTGAAGTGTCTTGATAATCTTCACACCATGTTGATAACACGTCAAAAATTGTTCATTGCAATCTTTGTCTAATCCTAGATTAGCGCCTACGGAGAATGCTGGACCAGCATGATCACGCGGTACTCGCCTTCTAGCCGATTTCAAATGTTGCTGAATTACCTCGCATGTCGTTTCAATATGTTGACAAAGTAGACCTTAAGAAAAATGTGTTATGGTAACGTCTATATTAATCAAATTCAAATTAGTCAAATGTTATGTACCTATATCGCCACCCTCTCCTTGTATCAATGCTTTTATCGCCGAAGCGTCGGTAGCTATGGCATCGCATGTATTGCCCAAGGTTCTTGTACCGTTCACAATTAAACGCGCCTGATTGACAGTCATACTTTCGCCAAAGAGCACGGAGAACATCGTGGCGAAGTATCCGCAACACTTCTCAATTGCATCCATCGGCAAATTCTCGTCTAACTGATCTCTCTTAGCCAGCTCGATTAACGAATCCAATGATTTTTCTTGCGCTGCCATCTCCGGATAAGCCGCTCCTGCTTTAAGTAACATCTCCGAGTTGCACGAGTTCAAAGCCGACTCGAAGCAGCTCAGGGTAGTTTGTAAGGCATACATATGTGAACAGAGACGAGATCTAAATGAGTACTGCGCTACTCCATGTCCCCTTACTACAGAAGACCTGCAATTAATAAAAACAAATAAATGTTACACGAAATAGAAATTAATAAAAACAAATAAATGTTATACGAAATAGAAATTTGAATAAACATCACGCGACAAAGAATCATTGTTACCTGTCTATCTTTTCGATCGATCTATATTTTTCTCGTACTTGCGAAATCAAGATTTCTGTTTTTTGCGTCATCCTTGGTATCAGTAGGAGCGTCAATATCGCGTCGTGATCTCCACCACGGGTTAAAAATGCTGGAGGCATGAAAGATAATAAGTAGCATACGTGGTTTCGTGCTTCCTCGGCATCTAGGCGACGCAATTCGAGATCGACTGCCTTGGTTTGCGCTCGGGTCTCGGCGAACGTTTTCTGGAAGTCTAATATCTCGGCGAGTTGTTGATCTGCACCTAAATAGTAAATAATTCGTAAAAAAAATTATAATAATTTAGTAATTTGATGTAGTTTTATTCCAATATTTCCTTTCTTACCTCGAACATTAGTCTTAGTGGATTCTGTCGACTGAACTCGTTGCTGCAACTGCAAACATTGTTCTTGCAACTGATGCGTGAGTTCGCGAAACTTTGTAATGGTTAATTCGCGGTCCGCTAGCGTTTCCAACGCTGCGTCCCGATGTCGTTGAGCATCACGTGCTGCTCCAAGAGCGAGGTCCAATTCCTCACGAAGCTCTAGCTCTAATTCTTTGGACGATTCGGCCAATTGATCCGACATATCCTGAACATAATTTACAATATATTATTCGTCATACGCATTTGTTGTAATATATATATATATATTTTTGCAATACAAAGTACAGAGACTACATACTTGCAAAGCCTCCAAATCCGCGACAGCCTCTTCTAGTTCAGCTACTTTTTCTTCCAACGCCATTTTTTTCTCACCTAACATCTCGATCGTTTCTTCGGCTCCTAACGCCGCATCGACCTATAAAAGATAAAGTATATACATATGCGAAAAAAAATATGAATCATATATAAATCATATAAGCAATATATACCTGTTCCTGCAGATCTGCTATTTGATGTTCCATTTCTTCGACTCGCGCCGACAATTTTTCTTTCGTGCGACCCAATTCTAAGATCTCAGATTTCTTCTGATCCATATCCTTCTGCAGCTTTTGGAATTCGTGTTTTTCATGTGCCGACAAATCACGCATTTTCACAAGCGTTTCGCGCAACCTATTATTCTGTTGCTCCAATTGCTTCACCTCATAACTCGAAGCTCCCGTAGTCGAGCCACCACCGGCTGCCTTATTTGCGAAAATAACATAACTTCAAAGTAAGTCTATGAGAAAGACACGAAAACTTTATAGAAATTAGACAATATATTATACCCGCTCGGACATTTCTGTGCGTAATATCTCTAGATCCAATGTTTGTTCCTCCAATTTTTCTTTGAGCTGCTCTAATTCTATTTGAAGAGTTTCAGCCTTTTCTTCTGCCATTTCTTTATCCAGTGTAGCCATTTCCACCGTTTCTGCAAGATCAGACATTTCTTCCTGAAATTGTTCTCTCGCTGCGTGAGCTTCTCTAGCTTCTTGTCGAGCTCGTTGAAGTTCTCTTTGGAGGCTCGCCTTTGATAGCGCAAAAAGATAGAAATTGAGAAATTTTCGAAAGTCGCAAGAGTAAATTATCTTTATTAATCATTAAATAAAAATCTCAGAATTTTTAATATTTGTCAACTTTTTTAAATCTGATACTACATTTTACTTACTTGACTTTCCATAACTTTAGCTTTAAATTCAAGAAGCTGTTCGACTTGAAGTTTCGTTTTTTCGAAATCTTTCATCCTCTCCTTGTCTTGCATTCGTTTTACACGCAGCGTTTCTACTTTTTCAGTAAGATCACGTACCTATAGTATTAAATGTTTATATATATTTGCTTATCATAATTCTGTGCGAGATATAAAATCCTATATGGACTCTCAAAATAGAAAGTTCGTAAAAGAAATTTACCTGAGACTTCAAATTGTCATTTTCTTGCACAAGTTGCAAGTGCGACAATTTTTCTTCCACCAGATTTGCGGCTGCTGCTGAACCCGCCATCACCTGACCGGGCACGAATTGCGGTTTCAACGTTTCTACAAAACCTGTCTGGATTACAGAAAGAGGAAAGAAAATAAGGTATATTTGCATTCTGTGCCGTTGGGTGTTCTTTTTATTATCGCATGAAAGAATTGTATATCGCCAAAGAGTTTCTTCAAAGTCCTCTGGACCTGTGCACCTGTGCCAACTTGAAACGCATATACACGATATAACTAAACGGTATATGGATGGCGCAAACAAAGATGACATAATCATTCTCAAAATGCGGCAATGAAAAAAACACCCCACATTTCCTATTTATGAGAATCGTATATGACGTTACGATTACGATAATGCCGTTGTTTCTGTATTTACATACGGTAAAATTAGTCTGTTTCATGGTGAATTAATGAGAGATTAGTTGCAATAGCGAAACACCAACAAGCTACACCGAATATTCTATTAGTACTAACGAATGTATAGAGGAAGATCCAGTTGATGAGTTGAATCGTGTTATATGATAACATTTACACAGGATATGCTAAAGTTAGAGCACCCGAGACTATCTCATCTACTGCGTCCTAACACATGTTCACTCGCATATATCCCCGTTCCATGAAGATTAACTCTCTTAGCGAACATAAATTTTAAAAAAAGTTATCGATCAGGCCAAACTACACCTCTGTAAAACCACGACCCTGTAAAACCCATCCGCGTTAGGTATCAAGTAACATTATCCTTGCAACGCAAGGGAAATTCACTTCCCAACTGCGGAAGATAGGATGAGACGATGCAGAACATCCCTTCCCATTGTGTGAATTGCAAACTATCGAAGCACCAAGAACTCAATTAATGAAGCTGATGTTAAACATAATAGTGATGTATGCAAAGAGTAAAATAAAATTAAATCGATAATCCATCTAAGAGGACATACGGACGTATCCGTTAAAGATGCAATGGCGTTGTTTTGTTACGAAAGTTATGTGTTACGATGCTTTATGATCAAACAGCTAGTATGAGAAAGAACAAGATATTAGAGAGGTGATGGTATTAAAAAAATTGAGATATTACAATTAATGAGTATTAATTACATTATTCTGATCATCTTGGGCCTTTGGCTTTTTGCCGGGAGGCGAGCTCGTGCTAGGGGACTTCTGAAACACGTACGTGCATTCCCATATGAATCATTCTGTACCAACGGAGTCCTCCGACTTGCTTTTACAAAATCACAGTCCTTTCTCTATCCTTGTAATTTTCACCATTAATTTCTACCTCATGTTCAAGCACACTTTCCGGTCAAACGAAATGCACGCGTGCATGACTGCATCGACGGGTCACAGAATAGTTTTTACACACGTATATACGAAAAACATACAAATAACCGGAAAACCTATAGATTTCCAAATATCAGAACCTATTTGTTAGTCAAAAACAATGAAAATATATCACAAGAATATAGTAGATAATTTATTCACCTAGAAATTATACCATTCATCATGTATAACGTCATGCCTTAAATCTTCTAATGTTTTTGTTAATATGTTTTTAATCAATCTTTTGCTCTTACTATCTAATATAAACATATACCAATAATACATAAAATATACACAAAATAATTGATACATCGTTAATGTAAAAATAATTTATATTTCAAACTATTTTATACTTTTTTCATATAGCTTATAGTATGTCTTACCTCAACGAATGAGGCACGCTTCGAAGCTGAGGTTGGTGCTGGGATTAATGATTCGCCGCCGTCTCTACGTTCGTGCAGTGATCCGGTTAGACTTTCTGTACTTGGGGCACTTAATAATGTTCTACTTCCAGACAAGGACAATCGAGAACTGTAAAAAAATATCATAAAATATGTTTAATGATATTTAACAATTTATTATTTAATATTTTACATATTTGCTATACTAAGCTGATTATCGACCAATCACAATGAAGATTTAAACTTATTATTTATTTATATTAAAATAAAAAAACGAGAAATTAAGATTTACACACAAAACAATTGTAAAATATTGTAATAATATTCGCATAATCAAAACATAAAAATGTGAACACTATATATAAAACACATATTTAAAAACAATCTTACAAAAATATAAATTAATAAAAAAAATTTAATAGCTTTTAATACAACTTTTTTGTGCAACAAGTGCAACAAAAATAAGGCAAATTATTTAATAACTGAAAGTAAATAATATATGTAAAAGCTTTATTACAAGCATATTAGCAATTTGTGCTTTAAGACTGCAAGATATTTTGAACAATTCAATGATGAGAATGCAATTGACATTTTGATAGAGCCAATAGTTGTAAGAGATAATCGTGACTGTTAAGACATCTATAGCAATAGCGATAAAAAAAAAGCAATAGCGATAAAAAAAATACACATTGCTGAGACATCCGTTCGTCAAGATTTAGCTTGTAATAATCTTACCCAGAAAATTTGTCAGATTGCTGGCGAGTAACATTCGCAGGAGATGTTTTTCTCCGTACACTTTTATGAGCAGCATATACATTTTAAGGATTTATTAATTACATACTCGCCCTATATTTGCTTGTTTATATAAGAAATGTTAACATTCGTTGTAGAGGAGAAAATAGGAAAAATAATTATTCGTTTTTAATCCTCGGCGTTATTATAAGATGGGAAACTTACGCTGTAGGCTCATTCCTTCGACGCATACTAATGCTAGCATGAAAATTGTGGAAATAAGTAATTTCAAACTTCTTTCTTCCAAATTTATAAATCACGTCGAGCTAGTTCAACAATAAACAAAACTATTCCTAATACAAATTAATTATATCCTGCTTAATATTGCTTAATTATATTCTACATAATTCTACTATTTGTTATTTTACAATATACAGATACTTTTTTCTAATTGCACTAAAATATTAAATTAAATATAATAATATTATAATATATTCTATGTATATTTATTTATTAAAACTAGCACATATAGTTTTGTAATATATCTGACATTTAATTGTGGAAAAAATATGCATTTTTCATAAAAATATTTTCTTTTTAATCCAACCAAGATTTTGCTATATATTTTAAAATTTAGATCCAAGAACTCACCTATTTAGTCGACTCCTGGCTCTAGCGGCACCACTATCATCAGGCGTTGTAGCGTTGCTACCTGCAGATGATGGACTGACAGGCTCAGTTCTATTGCCAGCTTCATCCAGTAGAATAAGTTGTGTTTGACGCGCAAACATGCCATAGTTCTCGGCACACTACACAGTAAAAGCAAGAATAACATGTTTGTATATATTTTTTCCTGCAAACTAAATAGATGAAGGTTTATCATTATAGGTCTTATCTCTTATCTAATTATATTATGATAAATCTAACTATATTATGATAAATTAGATAAAAAAGTATTATTGCAAGCTAAATTTATACAATATTTTCTTTCTATTTTTATTTATATACAATATTGTAATTCATATTTAATGAAAAATGAAAATGAATGATATTTATGTTGCCTCACAAATTTTAAATCATATATTCAATCTATTTTTTTCTTGGATTATCTAATACAGACATCTTTCTTGAATATATATTATTAATATGTATATTAGAATTTAAGGTATCTTTGATCAAACTTCAATCAACTTAGTCAATAATTAATCAAATTATCTCTACTATTAGTACAAAATGATTTATCTCTCGTTATTCAACAAATGAAAAGATTACAAGTAACAAATTGTACAGCTCGTAATTTCATTGCGAGCTATACAATTTGTTTTATCAGTTAAATTAGTGTGGATTAAGCTAATTGGGATTTAAGTCAAGTCACTATTTACAATATATAAACTTTAATCTCGGCTTAAGTTATCTCTACCTTTTAATTTTATAATCTTTTAATTTTAAAGAGTAAATTGAGTCGAGATTACAATTAATAAACATTAGAAAAATGAGCTATTGATGTATATCGGTACACTTCGCTGATTCACCTTAAAATACACCTGGCCCTTGACGCTACCATTGTTCTTTCCCTTTGGCTCGTCGAGTATCACGCCAATCCATTTACCCGACGCGAACGCCGGGTGGCCGACGTAGGCGATCACGCCTTGGCACTCCTTTACGGGGACCTCGACGCGTTGACCAATTTTGAATGACATCTCTGTATCCCTGTCAGCCGCGACGACTCGCCTCAGACGGACGCATCAGCTGTGCATTAATCTGCGCGATTTACTCTCGACTCCTCGTCTACCGCTTTGCGTTCAGTCGTAGATTGGTGGTCAAACGCAAGCAGACGAGACGAAGTGTTACCGAATCCTCTCGATCGAACTCCGATGTATCTCTCGGTTAGATGACAGGACGTATTAACCACGTCGCGGTATCATCGGTGCTTCACTGACAACAGCGGCTATCTTGATCTTTTTCGTGGAACGAAGTACGTTTTATGCGCATAGAGGCGCTGGTGAACGATGGACTGGTTACTGGTTGAAAGTTGAAATGCGGGCGTGACAGCTCTCAGGTTTTTCTCTGGATATTATTTATATTTCTCTCTGAATATATTTGAAATTTGACAAAAACAAAAAAAAAATTTAATTCAGTCCAGCGATGAAAAACGAATCTACAAAGCGTCATGACATTTTTAAAAGACAGATTATAATAAAATTTGTAAAAGACATTGAAAACAGATCTGTTGATATCAATATTGTTTATTTTTTTAAGTGAAGTAAGGGTAAAAATTTAATTTAGAAAGAAAACATACGTTGCACTGATTTCAACTGCATTTTCAGTCAGATTCTGTTACGAATCTCTGTCTTTCTCTTTCGTTTCGAGAGTTAGGGAATTTTTCTTTAGACGATCTTAAAATGAATCATTAAAAGACATTTATCTATTTCCTTAAACGGTTTTCCGCTCAACGTTGCAATTAGTTCTTTGTTATACAAGAGTTGTGTAGAAATTCGGTTTTAAAGCGGGCGATTTAGACGGATTTAGATCTCGCGCGTTATCAGGAAGTGCAGCTTCATCTAGGGAATGACACGAACGCGGTGGTGCCTCGATGCTAGTTCCTTTCATTCCGCTGACACGGGATTTGTTTTCGTTCGTATACATTCGAACGGATCAGTAGTAATTGTTATTACTTGGCGCGATCACTCGCGCTCGCACGGCGGAGCGTAGTGAATTGTTGCACGACTATGGCTAATCATTACGAGGTCCCGAACTGGTACGTTCTTAGAGATTTCCTCTGAATGTGACGCGATCCCGGTGTCTCCGGGGGGTCTGTTCGTCCCTCCGTTGTTTACGCAATCGCGTTGTCCCAATCTTTTCCGCGTCCACATTAGCAGCTTGACGACGCATCAGCAAGCGTACACTTGCCATATACGTTGTATTCCCTTTCAGGGCCGGCAAGCCACCGGTGGGCCTGCACTTGGACGTGCTGAAGAACGACAAGTTGATACAGGTAGGGACAACGTGACGTATGCGATCTCGTTGACGTATCACTCCTTTAGGACACCATTATCATTTGCGCAAATCGCACGACAATAGTTTTTTTTCATATGTAGACATCCTTTACAGAAACTTATGGTGGATGAGAAGAAGTGTTATCTGTTTGGGCGCAATCAACAGTTGAATGACTTCTGCATCGATCATGCTTCGTGTTCTCGTGTTCATGCGGCTCTCGTTTATCATAAGCATCTCAATCGAGCATTCCTGGTTGATTTAGGAAGCAGTAAGTATATAGTTTATATCAGTGCTGTAATCTTTTCTTTAAAAATAATTTTTTGGATTGAAAATCAAAATTCTATCTTTTATTTTTTGTAGATCAAGCTAGTATTTAAATTAAATTATTATTCTGTTCATAGTTTTATTTAAAGAAATTTTCATATATTTTATATATATGAGATATATAATATTATTGATGAAAACTTGATAATTTTTCAGCACATGGGACCTTTATTGGAAATCTACGTCTAGAAGCTCATAAACCAACTCAGTTACCAATTGATAGTACATTTCACTTTGGGGCATCAACTCGGTATTATATAATAAGAGAAAGACCTCAAACTGGTGCCAGGCCCATCATCGAAGAACTGGAGAAGTTATCAGAGGATATGGATGCTGGTGGTTTGTTGGGACTACCAGAAACGGAAACAGAGTTGGATGTATGTATAGTTTGATAATTTTCATTATTATTTTTAAATTTTGCATTGCACTAAACACAGACTACAACTTTTAGAATCTAACAGAATTCAATACGGCTCACAATCGACGAATTTCTATGCTTGGCATAACAGATGACGAAATGCACAAACCAACGCGCAAGCGGAAGAAAAAAGGAATTACTTTCAATGACGATGAAGAAGTAATTAATCCGGAAGATGTTGATCCCTCAGTCGGGAGGTTTCGAAATCTTATACAAACGACGGTTGTTCCTAGTAAGGTATGTGTGAAGATAGCATAATCCTTATGAATCAAGAAAGAAGAAACAAGAAGAATTTTGATATCAATAAATATATGTCCCTTTATTGCAGAGAATGCGTATGGAAGGTGGTCTCATATCATTGTCAGAGGATCACAATCCTCTGAAACACATGCAACCCACATCTACTCCGCAACTCTATCACGATCTACCTCCCGAGCAATTTACGCCGTCCTCGATGTCGACGATCAATCCGTTTTCGACGGCTCTAACATCACTAACGTCACGGCTTGGCATTGCGTTACCTAATCCAGCACCCGAAGTGGAGATGACACCGAATCAAATACAAACTGAAGTGCCACATGTACAGGAGCATATGCCAGGCACGACGGAGCCACGAGCGATGGAACCGAAAAAAAAGAAGTACGCCAAAGAGGCATGGCCTGGGAAAAAGCCGATACCAACGCTTCTTGTATAATAGGAATTACCGTTCATATTTACATTTTGTAATTTTATTATTTTTTGATAGAGTCACTTTTCATCCAGGGATTGTTCATACATTACAGATTTGCATATGATTTTTCATTGGCTCTATCACGTGTTACTATATCAGCAGTAATCAAATCTGTTTTAGTTATGCTGAAACATGTATTATTAGTGGAAAAGTTACATATTAATGGAAAAGTTAATTTTGTGCTAATTAAAACATTGCTAAAATATTATTTAAGTAATAATTCTAGTATAGACTGATTATGATTTAAATTTCTAGTGATAATTTAAAACGAACACATTTAAAGAAAGATTTTTAATCTATTTGAAAAATGCAAATTTATAACGAATTGTTAAAAACTGTTAAAAAATACATTCAATAACTGATATTAAAAATGATATTCAATGAGCATCTTAAAGTTTATACATAACTTTTCAGAATAATTTGAATGATAATATTGGATGCGCTCTTCATGTTTATTATGTTAATTTTTGTGTGTATACTTATTTTACATTTATTTTATGTCTATTTGTGCGATAACGAATACTGATAAAAATAGAATTATTCATGTTTATTTTATTGAATAGATTTTAGTTACTAGAAATATGAAGTTATATTATGTTTACCTTTAACAATATCGTGATTTTTAATAGTCATTAATAAGATTTAGCATTATAATGATTGTTACATAATATATCGCATTTCTTTAAATCTCTATAATTTCCCCTAGGTATAATTACTATTATCACTTTAAGTGCAATGCATTCAATGTAAATAGTTATAAAGCAAGTTTCGTTAATATACTTTTATAAATATTAATACCAAAAGACAAGTCCATAAAAGGAGGCAAATATTGTACATATTATATAAATAACTATTGTTTTGGGTCAGTAAAAACTTATACTTGATATAAAGATTATGGTAGTTTATGTTCTCATGTATATATAATATATAATATATATAATTATATAATATATAATATATAATTATATAATATATAATATACATAATGTATATATAATATATAATATACATAATTTTTTATGCATTTATGCAAAATGAAACATTAATCACAAAGTGAAACTCGTATATTTTTGTATTTTCTATAGAGAACTTTTTACAAAAGATACTTTTCTATAAATTACGGTTGACATTATACGAAAATGAACATAAGTATATCTTTCTATATAAGATGTAACATAAACGCTGTGACATTTCTCTTGTAATTTCCGCCTTGTTGAATAGTGAGGAAATATGCCGGCTTATTCCAGAGGATTTTCCGAAAACGCATACATTAATATTCCAACGGTGTATCCGGTGTGGACGGTGATTCCAGGGCGACTTCTTCGTAATCCCTTTCGAGCGCCGCGAGGTCTTCGCGTGCTTCCGCGAATTCGAGTTCCTCCATACCTTCTCCTACGTACCAATGAATAAACGCCCGCTTATTGTACATTAAATCGAATTTTCGATTCAGCTTGGCCCATGCTTCCTCTATAGCGGTCGTGTTCGATAGCATAGAGACAGCTCTTTGAACCTGTGAATATATATTCAGTTGTATTAATATCTGTATATATAAAATTATTAATTACGTAATATCAATATTATGTGACAAATTGTAATAGCATAAATGATTGTTATATCTAATGTATATGATATGTGATAGATTATGTTACGTAATAATTGATAATTATTATTATGTAAACGATTATGTTAAAAATTAGTTGCGAATTAAATTCGAAATACTGTATTAAATAATTAATAATTATTACGTAAACAATTATTATGTTAGAATGTTGTAAATTAAAATCAGAATTCAAGTTATCAAACTTAAAGTTCATTTTAGGCAATCTAATTCCCACAGAAGTTTCAGGATAGAATTTTTTATATAATTTCTATTTTAATTTAAAATGAAAATATAAGTTAGGCTTTTAAGAATATATTTATAATGACGTATCAACCTTTGCGAGATCGCCGCCTGGCACGGCCGTAGGTGGTTGATAATTGATCCCAACTTTGAAACCCGTGGGACACCAGTCGACGAAGCGGATGTAGCTTTTGCCCTTCATCGCGGCGATCGCGGCATTGACGTCCTTGGGTACAACGTCACCGCGGTACAGGAGGCAGCAGGCCATGTATTTGCCCTCTCGCGGATCACACTTGACCATCTGATTTGAGGCCTCGAAACACTCGGAAGTGATCTCTGCAACGGATATGCCCTCGTGGTAGGCCTTTTCGGCGGATACCACCGGGGCGTAGGTAGCCAAGGGAAAGTGTATGCGGGGATAGGGCACCAGATTCGTCTGGAACTCGGTCAGATCGACATTTAGGGCACCGTCAAATCTCAAGGACGCGGTGATCGATGACACCACCTGACTGATCAGCCGGTTCAGATTTGCGTACAAAGGTCGCTCGATGCCGAGCTTGCGCCGACAAATGTCGTAAATCGCTTCGTTGTCCACCATAAACGCGCAATCGGAATGACCGATCGTCGTGTGTGTTGTTAACACCGCGTTGTAAGGTTCTACTACGGCGGTAGATACCTGAAGAGAGATGTTTATTTTTTTTAACAGAGATTATCACGATCTATGTGGATACATGTTGCCAAAATCTTTATTTTACGAAGTCAGTAGATTTTAATTTAAAATTTTTTTACATTTCATTTTTATTTTTATTAATTTTTATTCTTATTAAAAATATTCAAAAATTAAGAATATAAAGATTATGTTTTTTATTCATCTTATTTTCTTCATTTGTCAAAAAGTAAATAAGAATAATTAAGAAAGATTCTTCTACAGGAATATATAAATTGATCTAATTATTCCAAACTCACTTGCGGTGCCGGATATATAACAAATTCCAATTTACTCTTCTTGCCATAATCGTCAGATAGCTTTTCCATAAGTAGAGACGTGAAACCCGATCCCGTGCCACCCCCGAATGAGTGGAAGACGAAGAAACCTTGCAGACCAGTGCACTGATCGGTCAATCTGCGCACTCGGTCCATCACGGACTCGATGACTTCGCTCCCGATGGAATAATGACCGCGTGCGTAATTATTCGCGGCATCCTCTTTACCAGTAATTAATTGTTCTGGATGATACAAGTGTCTATATGTCCCTATTCGAATTTCATCTGTGGAAATAATAATTTCCAAGATTCAAAGACATTCCGTATCAATGTTAATTTATTATTTTAATTATTATAAATTATTATAAAATATTTAGATTATTATAAATAATTTTTTGCGTGATGATTAAATATTGATTAATTATTGGTATTTATAACTAACCGACGACAGTAGGCTCGAGATCGATCATCACGGCGCGCGGTACCATCTTGCCGGAGCCTGTCTCATTAAAGAAGGTGTTGAAGCAATCATTGGCACCGGAAGTCTTGTCGGATGGCATAGTCCCGTCCGGTTGGATTCCATGTTCCAGGCAATATAATTCCCAGCAGGAATTACCCATCTGGACACCCGCTTGACCCACATGCATCGATATACACTCGCGCTGTAAATCGTATTTTGCATTTATCAAAATATCTTGATGGTGTACTCTAGAGGTGTAGAATCTCCAACTTCTTTTACACGAAAAGACGAAAATTGCTTAAAAAAAAAACCATAATTTTATTTTCTCGTACCATTTTGAGGTTTTTAATTAAATTTTTCTTGATGTTACACGATAAAAATTTTGATAAATTGTGAAATCGAAATTTTAATTAAATATTGAATTTAAACACGACAAATTTGGAAGCCGGCCATGAGCCACCCTAAAAAAAAAACAGTAGTAATTTATATTTTTGTTACTCTGGCAACCGTTACGTAAACTTCAAAGAAATCAAAATAATGTAAAATAACATAGTAGTATCGCATGGACTTTATTATTTACATACTTTAATTTTAAATTAATAAATTTGATGAAAAAAATGTAAATATATTTTACTTAAATTATAAAATACTACAAATTAAATATAGGCATGACATAATTATATACAATATGTTATTATATACAATATGAATATATACTTATAAATATATAAATAATATCATATATGTTATATTTGTAGTTTACAATTTTACACTACTTTAACATGTAGTTTTCAATGTTTTCTGTCAAAATTGTTTACATTAAATTCACCAAATATTGTTAAATTTTAACTTTGCAAATTTACTTTGAATCGACTCTAGAATAATTGAATAATTGAAGAAAATAGATATTTCTATATGTGTTACATATATACATGCATTTTGATATATGTATATATTCTGATTGCCATGCGTCAGACGTATCCGTGGCAACTAAGAATGCATGGAGCAACACTTGCCATCCGCAACCAAAGTGATAACAGCTGATATCATTTTTAAAAGATAGATAAAATGTTAAGGAATTGTGAACAATATTATCTTTTTAAAGCAAAAATCGCATATATTTCCGTCTTATAAACATGTTTGATATTATATGCTTAGAAATTGCTTTTCTACAACTAGTGTTACAGTTTTTACACGATCAATTAATTCATGTGATTAATTTTCACTGCCCAGTGTGATCTCATGTGAAAAATCACACATTTCGAGAAAGAACTTGTATATAATTCAATGAAAAAATAAAAGATATTAAATTATATCCTTAAGTAAATATTAAAAATGCATTTTTGCGCGCAGAGCGAATTATTTCTGTAGCAAGTAATATCTTAATAACAAAATAAATTTTGAAAATAACAAAAAAATTTTCAATTAAAAAGAAAGTGTAATTAAGGACATCGCGGCGCATTTAGTGCATCGACGCATGGATATTAATTACAAGGCAAACATCGCAAAGTGGCTACCACTTTCTGACGGTGCTTTCAACAGATGGCTTATAAACGCTTCTCTTTTGGACGAGAAAATGGGAAAGCTTGCAGGATGCATAGCCTTAATTATCGATGATTTCGCGGATGCTCGAACTTGTGATTTGGAGGTCTGAATACAAAACTATATATATAATATAATAAAAACTATTTTCATCATCAATCAATATATAAAATAAGACGTGTTAAAATTATGTGAAGAATTAGTTGTTTTGTGCGCTTCACAGGTATTTGAGGAAGTAATAGACAGCCTGGAAGAATTAATAGAGAGTTACAAATTGATATGCAATCCGGGTGAATTAAGTAATCATCCTATATACAAATATAAAATAAATCATCTGTCAATAGTATTAAAGAAGAAGCTAAATGTAATTGCGAAGTTTACCCAAGATATGATCACTGGCATTATTGATTGTAAAAATGACGAGAATATAAGAATAGTATTTAGGTAAAAATTAAACAAAAAAAATTCTTTTTATTTGTATTTATTGTATTATATTCTTTATGATTTTATTAATTTAATTGAACTAAAAGAATTAATCTTTTTCTAGAAAATCTTTTTCTAAATATAAGAACAGAATTTTTATTTCCAAATACACTTAAATTTCCTCGATACTGTTAGAACAAATAATAATAATACAATAATACAAATTGCAGATTGGTAAATGCTTACAACCAAATCCTCGACATGAATCGAGATGTGTCAGATTCATCTGTCAATGTGTTTTATAACGATTGCCCATCCATGCTTGAACCCTTAAAAAAAATCTCAGTGACCAAAATATTGCAAGCGAGTATTTCAAGATTCATTCGTCATTGTAGTTTTTAATTCAGAATTAATATTTTCTTTCAATAATTATAACTAAATAAGTTGCATTTTATATTATATCAATAATTATATCAATAATTATATCAATAAATTTTAGATATTAGCGAAGAACAGAGCGGAGGAATCCTGTCACGAACTTATTGACTGTCTTTTGGCAAATTACGAACCTCATGAGAAAATCAAGTCTGCGCCTATAACAAATGATGTGGACGTGTCAGAAAATTCCAGCATCGAAATTTATCGGTCGGTTTTGCGATTATAATTACATCACCAGTATTATTATTTAAAACAATTTTATAAGAAATACAAACCTTTATTATCCTTCATCCCTTTATTTATTATATTTTTTATATTATATTTTATATTATATTTATATTTATATTTATATTTATATTATATTATATTTATATACATTCAACGTTATTTTTTTTATCAGAATACAACTATATGATTCAATCAAATAAATCTTTTCTATTTATATTTTCCAATTGCAGTGCTCTTACGAGACATTTAACTCCACCGATCATGAGTGCGACATCAACGTCCGAAATGGAGGCATCCAATATCGAAAGTGTGCAGGCACTCGTGAACACACAAAACGAACAAATCCTTCGACTCTTAAATGTCGTGCAGGAAATATCCCCGCAATTGCTTGGCACAGATGCTTTAAAAACCAACAATGGTACAATACCAAATAGGTTCAACTGTCTTTTATAGCGTAAATTATTTATAATAAAATAAGAGAAGTCAAGCTGAAATAAAATTTTATCAGGTGAGAAGAAATTGAGAGGTAGTGCGATAAAGAAAGTAAAGAATTACTATCAGGAGGTGGCATGGGGTGCATTGTCCAGTATTTTAGATCACGTGATACTGTGGTGGTCCCGGGAAGCTCTTGCGACTCATCACAGCCACGGTGCTCAGCATCTCAAGGATTGGTTGCGGCAGTTTATTCAGGGGAACGAAAGTTAGAATGTCTTGTGCATTTATGATAAAATATATTTCTCATTTTTACATTTACGTCCTTTATAGAAAATTATTACATCTTTAAAATTTCAGCCCCACCCACGGTCAGATCGGCGCTGCAGAATTTATGCGACGCACTCGGATATCACACGACCATCACCGCTTGGGACCAGATATTTAGATTAGCCTACACCTCGGCCTTCGAGTGTCATTCGAAACCGTCGTCCACAGAGGTTGGTATCCCATAGAGGAAAACTTTGATTTAAAATTTTCATTCGATAAAATGAAACAAATTCTGTATTTCTACAACCAATGTAAGATCTGTTATAACACAAAAATAAGCTTTTTATATACAGATGACAAGTAATTAATGATTTTATAGGGAACCGACACCGGTCAAATGTTCGTCGAGGTGTTCCAGCTACTGGTTACCCTCAGCAACGAATGCGAAGTGGGTGGCGAATGGGTAATAGGAGCACCATTAGTAGAACTGCCATTGTCGGAACAGATCGTCGTGCTGCACAGGATGGATCATTCGGTACACACGGCAAGATTGTGGATCATTCAGGAGACCAAGATCATAGCCCACACCTGGGACCTAGATGTGTTCTTCCTTTTGGTCAAAGGGGATATAGTAAACTGCCTTGAAGAGTTATCTTATCTCAAGGTATTTTTTTATCAATATTTTTTATAAAAAATTGATATTATATTTGTTTTTCATTGATTGGTTCTAGCTTGCCGATCATACAACTGCATTGTCTGCAAATTCTATTAGTGTCCAAGTGTATGTGTGCACGAAAATGAGAGCCAAGATCGTTTCCGAAGTCAAGGCGAACATTGAATTACTTCAGGTACAATGCACAAGTATGGATTATATAAAGAGGATTTACATAAAAAACGGAAATGTGATAATTTTTGAAAAAAGAATTCCTTAATGTGCTATAATTAAATTAAATATATTTTTATAATTTTATTTAATAATGTTCCGCTTCTTCATTTCTACACTCTAATATTTTCTACAGATATCCCAATTATTAATCTCATAGTAGAAAGAGATATTTACTAAATTTAATTTAATAATAAATGGAACATAAAATTTTCGCGAGTAATAACTTTCAATTTGAATTTAAAAACTACAGATAATTTTATATTTTTTTTCTATTTTTGCAGATCTGCTCTGCTAAATGCATCGACACTCTTGCCAAGATCTGTCGTGTTATTAGTCTCGCGAATTTGCATATGTGCTTTCCACAATCGAATTATTGGAGAAAAAACAGCAGCATATCTCCAGTGACAGCTAGTCTTTATGTGGAAACTTATTTCGGTACGTTTTTTCCACTACTAAGCTGTGATTATATATGTTGAAATAATATGATTGAAATTATAGAAAAAGTGTTACTGCCAGTATTGGAAGTAATAGAGGATCCCGAAACATCCAATATGATTCTACGAATAATGTGCGAGGCGTGGCTTGATTATATTTATTTGCATCGCATCAAATTTAGGTAAATCTTGCATTTGCTCGTGATTGAAACTCACAAAACGATATAAAAATTGTATGTAAAAGCGAATTTTTTTTTTTCAATTTACATTACATTAAATTTTCAGCGAATATGGCGCGCAACAACTATTGACGGATTTCGCGTACGTATCTACTTGGGTCATGGAATGTTCGATCATCTCGCAAAATGTTAGAAATCACTTGCTGAAAAACGAGGTTTTACGTCGTTGCGAAGGTGTCGGTCGGCTTCTGTTAAGGCATCCAGGCGAAGCTATTGCTATGCGGAAACGGTTAGGTAAATTAAGTGTGAATTCTTTTTATTTGAAGAAAAATATACATATTTCTTCAGAAAAATTGTAATTTTCAACAACAAGCTTAATCATAGATAAAGTAGAAAGTAATGTCAAAGTGTATCTTTCCGAGTACTTCTTCCTCATTATAAGGAGATTTATAATTATTTAATTTTTTATTAATATTCAATTTTCCAGAAATTCAACTTTCTGCGACATTTTTTCAAGGGAAGATTAAAGTTTTCTTTTCGCTGTTTTTATGCAATTTCAGCTCGAAGAACAAACGAGCACGGATCGCCCGAATCCCCAGGTCTGGAACGCATGCCAGCTGAAATGTATGTTCCGAATCAAGAACAATGGCTTGAATTGCGTGCTCCTAAGCGATATAATTTTTGCTGTATGGAATAAAGAGAATAAACGATGAATCAATCGATATTTTGATAATCATATTCTTTTTCCTAAATTTCTTTATGATATAAACTGTGACTGCCCAATGTATCATAAATATTAATTTGTTGTGTTTAAACTAAAATCTTAAAAGAAATTATTAATAATTTATAAAAATTAATGAAATTATTGTACCAATGGTTTATTTATTACATTATCCACATCAATGTTAATTAATAGAAATAAATTAGTGTTGCCAGATAAGATATTTATTCGAAAAGTAGTGGCATTTTTTTCCTATGTATTATTTATTTTTAATAAGCATAATTCAGAAATATGTGGCTACGTGGGAAAATTGTGATCATTTATTGCCGATATAGATTTATGTTTTTAAGAAGCTCAACAAAAGGCGGAAGCCTTTCCGTAATGCGATAACGTATTACGTTACATAGGTACAAGATGTGGCGACAAAATCAACACAGCAACTGCAGCATCGACTATTATTCTTCAGCAGTCAAACATCAATGTTCATTGTCAACGCGACAGCAATAATGTTAATCTTGATAAAAAGTTAAACAATGTAGAGAAACATTAACGTATTGACGAGAGTACAGTGTTTCGTTATGTATAAATAATTATAAAGTATAAAGTAATAACTAGAAAATGGCTAAAACGAAGTAATAAAACAAATTGTGGATAAATGCTACATTGCAAGGAAAAAATCTTTTTATTAAGGTACAATTAGCAGGTAAAAATTAGCACATTTAATGCTAATTTAGTTAATTTTGTTATTTAATTTCTAAAATATACATAATAGAAAAGTGCCATTAAATTTTGTGATAAACAACTTATTAGCTTAATTTGTTTATACTGCATCTCGTATCGGCAGGAAACCTGTTTGTAATGTGATTGTTACAAATCATTTCTGCGATGCGTGATTGTTTGTGTAAATTGAGGCGCAGATTCATTCCTCGAGCTGTTGTCTTACCACTATATCGCACCGCAAAATAAGAATGTGGTGAGACAACTCATGTTTCACTCCTGACTGTCGATTCTCGATTCACCTTATGTAACCAGTCTGGTTGTCTGGGCGAGCATGCGAAAATCGAGGGCTGAAAACATTATTAGATCCTTTTCTTCATTCACGAACGGAAAAGTTATATTTTTATCGACGATTTGTATCGACGAGAGTTATAAAAATTATGAGTGTCTAAAATCTTACAAGTCTTTTATTTAAAAATTATTTTAAATCAACTGTTCCTTTTTTTATTAATATTTTCTCAAGTTCTTTCTGGAGGAGGGTATAATTTGACAGTGTTGTGTAATTATTGGATAGTAATTAACAATTACAAATGTGGAACTCGAGAGTTTGTATGCATCGATCTTTTACGCAAGAGACATGTTAGTGCAAGGTGAGTCACATAAAAGAGATCGAATTGCCAAGTGAGAAGGATCGTCGTAGTCTCGTCTGTTAATCGCTACAGATAAAATTCTATACGTTTTTCTTCTTTGCAACAAAAATGCGCGGAATCACGGAAAGAACGCCTCTAAGAAGATCTATGGATTCACCCGATTACATCGAGTTCGCCAGCCTCTTAAGAACTCGAAGAGCACGACTGCGACAGTTTCAATGCTGTGTTTGCGGCATTTTGATGTAAGTTCAAAATCGAAAAGATTAAAAAAAGTTTTATTACTTTAGAGATAGATTATATATATCTTATTAGCATGCAACTAGAATAGCATGCAGCTAAAATTAGTAAACTTGTTTTAAAAAACTTGAAATAAATAGAAATACAAAAAATAAGTAGCAATTAAAATCTCAATTTAACTACTTAGGCTTTTCAAATTTCGATGACAAGCATGCGATTTTTCAATAAACGTAAATAAAATACCAAGAATATCGTACGTTGAAAAGATTAAAATCATATCAAGTGATTTCTTCAACATGATTCTCTATGATTTCATAGAGTGGTTTTGACCATGGCTCTAGTGGTGTCCATCAGCTACTCCATGAGCCATACCAATTCCACCAACCTCACGATCGACAACGCAACATCCGTCAGTGATTCAAGTAATATCCTGAGATTAGAATTCGCACCTGGATCCATCTTGCACACGGCCTTCAGCAATACCGCCAGTGCCACAACCGAGTCTAACTCCGTCCTGATACCCAACGAGAACATCGACATTCCTACAAAATGTCTTAGCCAGTCGGAATACACCCAGGGATTACGAGCTGGCGAACAAGCGATGAAAGATCGTCTCTCCGCGGATATGATCGCCGCGAAATCACCATTGCCATCTCCATCTCCTGAATCTAGACATCACCATGCGGTGAGCACGTGTTCTAATGTTAGCGCCCTTGCCTTAGCAGCGATAGGTGAAATCGCGGCTACGAAAACGATTGAAAATATGAGGTGAGGCTT